AGTTTAGCTAACAAAACTATTGAGTTAGCTAGCCGATGCACATGCAATAATGTTCGCTAAGCCGCTGCCAGGGAAATAATCGTTGCCATAGCTAATGTTTCGCTGCAACAACAAAATTATTATTTTCCGTGTATTGAATCTAGTTTTGTCCCCTTTTAGCGAACCGCTTTTTGCTTTGTTATGGTCCCCCTGACCACTATGTTTTGCTAAGCTCTGCCACTCTGGGCAAGGCCTACGTATGGCATTGTAACCTACTTTAAAGCACACTAACTGAAAAATTAAAGCCATATCATCTGCTCCCACGTTAGCGCAAGCTTAGGTTTTTTCTTTTTTTCTGAGTGTGCCTGTGCATACCTAATTTTTTTAGCGAAGTCCCCCCCTCCCTCCTGGAGGGACCAATCATTATGCCAGAGTACTTTATTGGCACTGAGCTCTAGCCGCGTCTGCCCCGCACACGAAACAAATATGATTAGCTACCCAGTGGCTAAAGAGGGATAACTAACGCTGTGTAGCTAAAAAAAATTCTAAACATAGCTATTTTTTAGTTTTTTTTTAGCTTTTATGAAGTTTTAGGTCGATATCTATTTTATTGTGACACAATTTGTAGCTACATACCCAAATAATGAGTTATCCCCTATTGAGCGATTGTTTGATCTACATGGCTCAATCTTTTTTGTGCAGCGTTTTCCCCGACCCGCTGCGCTTCGACCCGGACCGCTTCCTGCCGGACCAGAGCCAAGGGCGCCACCCCTACGCCTACCTGCCCTTCAGCGCGGGGCCCCGCAACTGCGTGGGCTTCCGCTACGCGCTCATGTTCGTCAAGACGGCCGTGGCGACGCTCATGCGCAGCTACACGTTCCTGCCGCCGGCCGGCGGGCCCAGGACGCTGCAGGAGCTGCACCGCCAGATGCAGCCCGGCGCCACCATGACCATCAAGGGCGGCGCCCTAGTGCGGGTGGCGCGGCGGGCGGGTGCGGCGCCCAGCTAAGCCCCAAAGTGTGCAGTGCAGGGCTGGAAATTTTCCGAAAAAAACGGAAATTTCCGGGAAACAATGGAAAATTTTCCGAACTTTGAACGGTGTTCGTTAGTTTTCGGAAATTGTCTGCAATTTTTCGAAACTTTCCCGAAAAATTTAGGAAATTCACACCATGACTCCCTTACGTGTACGAATGGACATTCACACAACTACAACTACATGTGAGCGGCATTCACACATTCGCGAAAAGTCAATAAAAAAAATTACACCGTGAGAAGAAAAAGTTGTGGGTTTTACGGAGAAATTAATTTTTTCATGAATTCAAACCCGTAAACATAACACCAGCACCACTTTTCGACTTGGAATTTTCGACATACACTTGTTTACACTTATCATTTCGGAAACACTGCCCCGCCCCGAGAACAGTACTCGTTCTCCGTACGCATCATCAAGAAAGTGCGTCTCTGTTTTTATCAGAGGATTTCTTTGGTGAGTGACGGGAGCCTGGCGCCTGCGCAACTCGGGGTAGACCACCCCGCAGCACACGCGTGCACTGCAGCCACAATGTTGCCTACGTGGCAGGAGGTATGAGAGCCTGAGTTGGCCGAACAATGGCAGATACGTAATGGAAAACGACCAACAAATGATGTAAAATTTCAAAATTTTGTTTTTTCAAATCTCCTTTCTTTTCATTATTATTATGTTATTAATGTTTTGGTTAGTGAGCGGAGCGGTATGGTGTGGCACTGCCACAGAGTAACATTGAATGTATCAGAATTGTCGAGGGCTTTGGGTTAAATGAGCGGTCGTATTGTAGCGAAACCGACATTCATCATGTAATTCACAATTATCCTCAAACGTACAACAACAACAACAACAACTGTGCGAAAGATTTTAAAAAATGACCGAGGCGGAGCGTAATAACGATTGTCGAGGTGACTGTGTTTGTGACGGTCATGGGGGTGGTGACGGTCATGGTGGTGGTGATGGTCGTGGTGGTGCTGGTGACGGTACGCCGGCCCCTTTATGCAGCATTAGCAGACACACGCATACAGACCACACAACAACAGAACTTCGCGTCCAAGATGTTCTGAGGCTGCCTGGTCAGGACGCGGCGGCCTTTCGTCACGAGGGGTGGGCTGCGAGCGGCCGTCGTCTCGTGTCCTGGACTCATCACCTCCGCGACGACGGTGGACGTGGACGTCGCCCCGGCGCCCTCGGCAGCGTGCTTCACATCACTGACAGGACCCCGACGGCAACAAAACTGTCACGTGACGTGAAGAACGCCGGCGCGGGCGCCATGTACGGAGGAGGTGAATGCCTGGAGGGAAAACACACCAACAAACGCTCTCGCACCGAGAAATTCGCAAATTCGAAGATGTATAATTTGACAAGCGGGATGGGGGGGGGGGGTCGCTTTTCCATACCTTTCCAATAATTGTTTGACTGAAGCGCCGAGGTCGTTGACCACCCGCTGGCAGCACCGAGCAGCGGGTATCAAGCGTTCAAAACCAGACAGGATCAGCCAATATTTCATAGCGTTACTAGAATCATATTTGCTGAAACGGTCTGGTTTAAACGCGGCGACCCTCCTCAAACGAAAGACAGATGTTGGCGGTTCGGCGGTGCTGATGCTGGTGCTCGCGGTGTCCTCTCCTCTTTGAAATCACGTCTCCGTAACCATTGTCAATGTACCTGGCAGGATCCTGGCACACTGTCAGGTCGCATGGACAATGGTGACGGGGAGCGCAACTTCCGGGGGCGGGCAGCTGATGTAGGCGGCAACTGTAAACGAGGAGGGTCAGAGGGTAAGTTCTGGCGCGAACGAGTGCGTTATTGGGGG